ACATCAAGGGACAGGTTTTCGCAAAGAGCTCAGCTCCCTTTTAGGCACCAAAGTAACTGGCGAGATTTTACCCCATGCTGAGCATGCTTTAGTTGGGGATTGGTCCTGCTTTGAGCAGGGGGTTGGACTATATGACCTCCTGAGGTCCCTTCCAACCCTGATATTCTATGATTCTATGCTTGAAAATCTGGGGTTTATCTATGGGCCTATATGAGAATATGACCGTTGTGTGCTGAGCTCTTGCAAAGTTAGCCCTCGGGCTCTTCAGGCTTAGCTCCCATAACCTCCTTTGAGCCAGCCTAAGAGGTTTGCCCAAGATCACCCAGGCAGCCTGTAGCAGAGCCAGGAACTGAACCCAACTCTCCTGCGTCCCAGCCCGCTGCTTTATTCACAAGCCCCTTCCTCCGGCTGGAGCTCCCTCAGCTGTGGGAGAGAGGGGGTGTAACCCTGGTAACAACAAGACCTTCCTTCCTCTGTAGCCAGCCCTGGAATTTCTCAATGGCTCCTTTAGAAACTCAAGACAAACAAACCTGGGTGTATAGAAACAGGAAAGGCTCCAGAGTGTGCATCCTACGGGCAGCCAATCTGTACCCAGCAGCCCAGATTTCTCCCCCAGGTGACTTTCCTGTTAGGATGGGGCTGGATTCATGAGCAGATCTGATCCCAGCTCCGATAAGGAATGGTCTGGGGTTTGTCACTTTGTTGGGAAATTGTTGCTTTTAAATGAAGCTTTAGATTCTGAAAGTAACTGACCCCTCTAGGGGGTTTGCCGGCTGCCTGGACAATGCTACAGGGGCAGGAGATTTAAGAGCATTGAAGAAATGGAAGTGACTTTCATAAATAAATAAAGCCACACAGGGCTCTCTGAGCATGGCTGATGGACAGCAGCAGCGTACACAGGAAGGGGTATTTACTCGTGGTTAGAGAGCCGGACTCCTGGGTTCTACTCCCAGCCCTGAGAAACATGTGCTCTAAGGGTTAGAGCAGGGGGCAGGGAGTCAGCTTTGGGGCAGGAGAACACACTAATACATGATGTGGAACTGAACACCAGACTCCTGGTTCTACTCCCAGCTCTGGTACTGTGTGACCTTGGAGGAGTCACCGCCCGGTGCCTCAGTTTCCCCCTCTGTAACAGAGGGATTATGTATTGAATTGCACATACAGGGCGTCAGTCACTTTTGTAGCTAGGCAATATGGGGGGATAACTTACCTACCTCCCTGGGAAGGGGCTGAGGTTTAATTAATGTTTGCCAGTTGCTTGGGGAACTGCTGCTAAGAGGGCCTGGGATATTAGCAGTGTTTGTGAATGGCAAAGCTTTTTCTGCAGGAACATCTGCTCAGACGGAGATAAAACACTGGTTAATTTCGCTGCACACCGTGGGGGCACCATGCTGAGCCCTATGGAAAAGGAGCTTCGGGACAAATAAGGGGTGATCTTGATCAGTTCCCAAGGGACCACCCTCCAGGTGTCCTGGCTAAGAAAGCTTTGGGAGGGGGCTACGAGGCAGGGGGCTGGCTGCAGAGTTTCGGGGGTGAGGGAAGGGGAAACTGGAAGAGGGAAACCTAGAACTTTTGACCCCCCCTCACCTAGAAAGGTAGGTAAGTCTGGGGATCTTCTGCCAGAGGCTACTCTCAGCCGTCCCCATCTCTGTCCATGAGACTCTGCCCTTCTTGCCATAGAGATGGGAACCTGACACAGCATTGCCAACCCCCAATGTTAAAAAACCATGAGTTGGGCTCACCACAAATCATGAGACTGGCTTTAAAATCAGGAGATGATGTAAAGAGAATGGATTTGGCGATCTTTTTATTTCCCTTCTGCTTCATGATCCTTTAGGGTGCGCCCAGGTCACATTTTGAAGCTTTCTCCACAGCCATGAGGGCTAGAAATGTACTTTTTCTTTAAGACTGAAGGCTGAAATCATCACTTGACTCCAGGAGCTGGGGCTTTAAGGAAAACAAGAATGATCATGAGACTCATAACAGATGGCAACGCCACCTACATTACCCCTTACTAAACTGAATTCCTGCTGAGCCTTCCAGCTCCCCCATTTAGCAGAGAGAGGCTGAATTTGCCAGCTTGGAAGGAAGCCCCACCACCTTCTCCTCCCAGAAGAACCCACTTCCCACCTGCCCATCGGCTGCCTGTAGACATTCTGCACCATCCACTCTCTCAGCTGGTGCTCTTGCTGGGAAGCCCCTAGTCTGGGATAGGAACTGACCACAACAGGGATGGGATCGTGGTGAACCCCTTCACTGGGGCATGCACTGATGCTGCTGCCTGGAGGTTTCCTCCACAGCAATCGCTCCCCTCGGGGAGCACATGGGGTCAAATGTATCCCTGGCTGACACAGATAAGCTTTGCTCCGTTGAAGTCAAGGGGAGCTATGCTCTTGCGCTTGCTGAGTCTGGCCTATGGTCTCTCTCAGCAGATGACGGAAGGTTTTATATGTAGCTGGATTCCTAGGACTGGCATTTTAATGAGCATCGGGCAGCACAGTTGCTTCCAGGTGCTGCATTCTGAGGAGAGAATCATAGAAGATCAGGGTAGGAAGGGACCTCAGGAGGTCGTCTAGTCCAACCCCCTGCTCAAACAAGACCAATCCCCAACTAAGAGAGAGAGCCTGGTCCTCACCCACTGCACTAGGACAGCAGCAGTGTGTTTCACTTGCTTCCCTCCTCTGGCATGGAGGCAGGCCTGTTGCCCCCTGATTACTGGGTCAGAGCTGTATTTTGTGGGCATTCCAGTCTGGCTCGCCTTTCTTCAGGAGGGCGAGGACAGCCTTGCAGTTAGGACTCCGGAGACCAGGGTTTAAATTGCAGCTCATGCTGCGGTGGTGTAAGTGGCAGGGTTTTGCACCGGGGCAGATCCCTACCCCTGTGGCTCACATTTTGTGCAGACCACTTGAAATAGTTTCATCAATACAAAGAAAATCACAGCCCCAGCGGGTGGGTGTGAACTCTCTCTAGGGGGATGGGACAGAGAGAAGGAGGCTGCCCACCCAGCCTGCCTTGGGAAGATCTGTTTCTTATGGCTTCTCCTGGCAAACTGCACCCAGGTGTTTTTTACTGCTGGCTGCATCCTGCTGTTGCCCTTTAAGTAGAACTCTCCTCTGAAAGCTCTGCTGCCAATGGCCTGGGGTTATTCGCTCCCTACTGCTGAGTCCTTCCTATGCAACAATCAGTGCAAATGTGTCTCCGAGGGAGTTTTGCTGAGTGCATTACACGTCTCAATCCGGGCCAGCAGCTCTGGGTCTCAGCAGCTGCTAGCCCCTTGTGTGCCGGGTCCCTTGTGGCAGCACGGGTACCAACTGGAAAAGGGAATCTCTCTCTCCAGACTGCAGGAGAGAGACAGATCCCGTGGCTCTCTCTGGGTTTCTAGTTCCCAGCCTGTGCTGCCTAGTGTCACCATATGGAGTCTCCCGAGGCTGGCACCCAGCTGTCATAGACAGGAACGGACCGCTCACAACCACGTGTGATGGGCAAAAAAGGCTTGTGAGCATTAGCGTCTGCCGCTGGCTGGCTGTGTTTTCCAGACTGTTACCTGGTCTGACCTCCTACATAACCCAGGCCAGAGGATTTCACCCGGTTATCCCTGTATCGAGCCCACTGGCTTGTTTGACTAAAGCATCTTCCAGAACAGCAGCCAGTGTTGATGTCAAGACTTCAAGAGATGGAGAATCCACCGCCACTCTCGGTAGTGGGTTCCGCTTGTTAAAAGTGTGGGCCTTATTGCTATTTGCCTTTAGGAGAGGAGGGGCAGTGGTTCTGTGCCAGCTGATCCCTCTTGAACTGGGAGTGCAGACACTTCTCGTGCTGCCCGGTGTGGAGCGAAGCTGTTACAGTTCAGGACAACTGGCCTCCCAGCCCGGCGCGGCTCAGGGGAGCGGACAGGCCTGAGCTGACAGGGGATGCTAATAAGCTGGCAGTAATGTACTTGTGGTTGTTCATTACTTTGGGTTTCCTGACATTTGGGTGAGTTAATGGATTTGTCTCTTTCCCTCTCTGTATTCCTCCCCCTCCAGTGTCTGCCTGGCCTAGTTGTAAATTAGCCCTTAATTTCCCACATGTGTCTTCACTTAACTAGCAAACTCCACCCCGCCCTGTAAACATTTTTGGGTGAGTTTGGTATTCATGAAAGTGAGGGACTAAGAGCATTGGATTAAAGCCAAGCCTAGTTTGGGCAGATGCTGGGAAAGCTACTCCCCCACTGCCCCAAATCACACACAGCCCTGCCAGTTGCAACAAGCCCCTGCTGTTTTGGTCCTGCCCTGCCTCCCCCAGCTCTGATGATGCCCCTCAGTCGTGACCCCTAGTCCCCCCTGATATTCCAATCTTGGGTTTGCTGCGCATACCCAGCTCTGCCAATGCCCTTCAGTCCTGACCTGCTGTCCCCCTTGCCTGCTACTCCGGTGCTAGGCCCGTTCCTAATACTCCTTCCAAAGCTTCTCTGTCCTGACTGCAGCCCCCCTGCTGTACCAGTCCTGAATCTCCCCCTCCGGCCTGCCAGCTCTGCAAATGCCCCTCAAACCTGACCTGCCTCACCCCTGTCATTCCCATGCTAGGCTCCCACACACACAGCTTTGCCAATGCCCCTCAGTCCTGACCCACAGCACCCCCTGCCATTCCATTTCTTTCCCTCCCAACGCAGCTTTGCCAACGCACCTCACTCTTGACCTTCTGCAGCCCTGGCTCTCGCAGTCCTGAATTTCTCCTGAGCAGAGCTGCCAATCACGTCCCAAATCTGCAGTCATTTTATGGTGCAGATCAACTCCTCTAGGGGCCGAGGCTCCCCCTTCCCCCACTCAGGCATACTCATGTCCTGCTAAGGATTTGAATCCAGGTTTGCAAAAACTCCCAGCAAGTCATAAGAGCCCTCTTTTAACTGTTGCGTCTAACAGGCAGTAGCCATATGTGTTATTAAAGAGACAGATTCGTTTCTGTGCCACATTTCACTTTCTTTCTTCCTTTTTTTCTCTCTTTTTCTTTTTCCCCACTAGCAAATATTTTTCCTGTTCTCTGGACCAGCTCTGATGAAGCTAGAGCAAAGAGGTGTAAATTACACTTCCTTACAACCAGCCCTGGCCCCTAGAGTAGCAGAAGGTTGGAGATTTGAGAACTGCCATAATTAAGGTGAGTAGGGGGTGTTTTTCTTAATTAGCATCGTTACAAAGAAAGAAAGAAAAAATCATACAACATGTTTTTCTTCCAATTACAAAGAACTAGCAGAGGGGAAAAAATATCAAGATATGAAAAGCTGTGGCTGAGCTTTGGGCCTGACGAGGGGACACATAGAAAGTAAAACAGAACCTCAGAATAAAGTAAACATTCGTCTCTGTCAGGGGAGACTGCTAACAAGGAGAAAAGATTACCAGGGCTGTTTCTTGTGTTCTCAATGCTTCTCTTCTTACAAGCCATTTTCCAGTAAATTTGATCCATGACTTTCCTGAACACTGGCGGAGCTGGGTAACCTGTCTGCCCAGGTGCGACCTGGCAGAGCTTCTCCGAACCAGTGTTGTCTAGTGGTTAGAGAAAAGGACTGGAAGTTAGGACTCCTGGCTTCTACTCACAGCTCTGGGAGGACAGTGTGGGGTTTAATGGTTAGAGCAGGGGACAGGGAATCAGGACACCTGGGTCCCTGTTCCCTGGTCTAGTAGAGCAGGAGATTTGGCATCAGGACTCCTGAGTTCTATTCCTGACTCTGCCACTGACTCACTGCATGACCTTGGACAAGCTGGTTAGCCTAAATTTTCAAAACTGGCCATTAATTTTGCAAGCTTTAATTTCGGGGTCTTAGCTGGGCACCCAAAACTAGTGGCCACTATTGAAAATATTGATGTAAACCTCTCAGTGCCTCTGTATCTGCAGCCACAAAAAAACAGATTAATCCCAAGGGATGCTGTGAGGCTTAAAAGTGTATTAAGTGTCATTATTAATGTCTCTGTTTAGGGGCCTGATCAATGGGAGTCTTTCCATTGATGTCCTGAGGTTTGGATCAGGCTGTAACTGCAGCTGGTACCATAGGAAGTGAAAATGTGCTGAACAATTGAGAGTCCCTGCCCCAGAGAATTTACAGGACAAACCACAGCTGCTGTAAGTAGGTTCAAATCTGTGCATGTTCTGTAGCGTTGCACCCTCACACCCCAGGTCTGAATTTGGCTCCCATCTAAGGCACCAGCTGGCACAAGGCAGAGTCCTGTGAAGCTGGACAAAGTGGGTGTGTGTGTGTGATCCTGATAGCTGGAATTCTGGGGTTGGGAGCAGGTACGTCTTGAGGAGGAAATGAAGGTCTCGGGGTGGCTATTAAATGGCCAGCTTATCCAAGCATAGCTAACGTTAGTGCGGAGCTGGAGATGCTGGAGAGGAAGATATTGTAGAAAGGCGGGCAGCTATCAGTAAGACCTGGGTCTTTCCACTGCTCCTGTGTCTTTCCAGACAGGGTTTCCCAGGTGCTAATGCTGCTGTTTATTCCTTCAGGGGCTCGGGTTACCTTCTGAGCATCACTGCTGGATTTTCTGTATGGAAACAAGACTAAGGCCTGCCCTCGCCCCCACTCCCCATTGTAACCATTAGCCAGACTCCTGCTGACGTCAGTGGATGAGAGTTGGGCTCCATGTCCTTTTCCTCCAGCTCGCTGTAGCCCCCTGGAGGACGGGGAAATGGGGCAGGTAAGGGCTGATCTGCTGCACCAAGGCCAGTAGGTGACTCAGCTTTTCGAGCAGCTGGTCTCCTGCCCTCAGCAAACCCTGAAGAGACCTTGCGTTTCTGCCAGGGCAGGGTTAGGTATGAACTGGCCTCATTTCGTCTGACCTCCCCGAGCCAGGGAATGTCTCCTGGTGATTTCTGCGTTGAGCCCCAGTCCCTAGGGCGTGACCCAGACCGAAAGTCGCTAGTCCCCATCGTACAGAGACAGAGGCCCAAACAGACCCGCCCGCCCCACCTCCACACGGAACTGTTCTTTTAGGGACCACTCCGCAAAGTGAGCTCCCCCTGCAGACATGACCTAACGAGACCAAGCAACCAGCTCCCCTTGCAGCCAGCCCTGCAGACCACTCTCCTGTATCCCAGGGAACGATTGCGCCAGAGCGAACATTTCCTCTCTTAATAGCTTCCTGCTGACCTTGTGGCCCCAGTCCTCCTGCCAAGGGAACACCTCCGCTCAGATGCCCCTAAACCTGCCCAGACCTATAAAGCAGCAGTACCCTCCTTGTTCAACCCCAGCCCCACTGACTCCACCAAACCCCCCACTCCTTCTGCCAACACCTCCACACTGAAATCTGCCAGAAGCACTAGCCCCTCATCCCACATCCTAGCCCACTCAGCCCAAATGTCCCAGCAGGATGGGCCTGGAATATACAGGGGCAACAAAGTGAGTAGGCTGAACTATTCAGGACCCCAGTCCCTCAAAACCAGCCTAGTTACAGTCCTCCTGATTCAGCTGCCTGCATACACCCCAGCAACCCTGGGGCCTCCCCCTCGGGTACTTCCTGCCAGCATCCGCTTCCCTCACCCATTGGCTGGTGGGAAATTGCTACCACACATACTTGTTTCCTCTCCCCCCTTTGCACTGGGTATTAGGTTCCTTTGCAAGCTGTGAGCAGTTTGCTGTGGACTCAACTATTCTTTACCCATCTGCTTGCAGAGCACTTAACCCTTCTCCTCTGCATCCCATTAGCATTTCTGTAATTGGAGCACCACCCAGCCAGCTCCAGGCCAGACCCGTGCTCCTAGACCTCACCCTGCTCCCCATCCAAACCACATGGTGGCTGACCATCTCTGTGGGCTTCTCCCAGACCACAGACCGCGGGTTCAATGGTGATTGTGGGGGTTTCAAGTACAAGTTTCAGGCCCTTTAGGGCTAACCAATATAGAGCAGGGACAGGCGGTATGGTCTAGTGGGCTCATCTCAGGGTATGGAGCCAGGACTGATGAGGTTCACTAAGGACAAATCCAGAGTCCTGCACTTAGGACGGAAGAATCCCATGCACTGCTACAGACTGGGGACTGGCTGGCTAAGCGACAATTCTACAGAAAAGGACCTGGGGATTGCAGTGGATGAAAAGCTGGATATGAGTCAGCAGTGTGCCCTTGTTGCCAAGAAGGCTAACAGCATATTGGGCTGTATGACTAGGAGCATTGCCAGCAGATCGAGGGAAGTGATTATTCTCCTCTATTTGGCATTGGTGAGGCCACATCTGGAGTATTGCATCCAGTTTTGGGCCCCCCATTACAGAAGGGATGTGGACAAATTGGAGAGAGTCCAGCGGAGGGCAACGAAAATTATCAGGGGGCTGGGGCACATGACTTATGAGGAGAGGCTGAGGGAACTGGGATTGTTTAGTCTGCAGAAGAGAAGAGTGAGGGGGGATTTGATAGCAGCCTTCAACTACCTGAAGGGGGTTCCAAATAGGATGGAGCTCAGCTGTTCTCAGTGGTACCAGATGACAGAACAAGGAGCCATGGTCTCAAGTTGCAGTGGGGGAGGTCTAGGTTGGATATTGGGAAACTATTTCATTAGGAGGGTGGTGAAGCACTGGAATGGGTTACCTAGTGAGGTGGTGGAACCTCCATCCTTAGAGGTTTTTAAGGCCCAGCTTGACAAAGCCCTGGCTGGGATGATTTAGTTGGGGGGTTGGTCCTGCTTTAGCAGGGGGTTGGACTAGATGACCTCCTGAGGTCCCTTCCAACCCTGATATTCTGTGATTCTATGACTCCTGGGTTCTATTCACAGCTCTGCCACTGACTTACTGTGCATCCTCAGGTAGGTCATTGGCCCTCCATGTGAGTGTTTCCTCATCTGTAAAATGGAGGTAATGGTACCTACCCCCCCTACAGGGGGTGCTATGACCTGAATGTTGATTCAGTGCTCTGGGTATGTAAAAGCACCCTAGACAAGCTGAGTAGTAGTATCATTGTATTCTATTTGATGTCTGGAAATTGCCGATAGGTCAGAAAAAACAAGCCACTCTGATGGGATTTCACACACAGCCAGTTTATTCTCCTGGGTCCCTGGCATTCTTTGTCAGTCTCCACTCATGTGACCCTCCCACTGAAGTGTGAAGTCAGTGAGTGTTTGCTTGGGTGAGAACTGAGCAGACGCCCCCGCTTTGGCCCCGGAGCACGGGAAATCAGTGCTGGCCTGGATTGAACAGTAACTATTCACTGGGCTGCGACTTGGAGCAGTTGGAAAGTGAAAGAGTTATTATCAACAGCAGCGTTATCGAAAGCACCAGCTGGCTGTTTTGGTGCCTTCGTTTTTGGGTGGCCTGGCCTGATTCACCCCAGGTCTGATTTTCAAAGCTGCTCAGCACCCACGTCTCGAGTGGAACTCGGGGCTTGGGGGCGGGTGGGCAGCACAACCCTTCCACAACGAGGCCCTGGGGGTTTCCCGTCGAGTGCCCAGAATCAGTGACCACTTTTGAAAACACTGGTCTGAACCCCTTCAGGCTTCATTGCTTTATTCAAATATTAGATGCTGCCAGGACTCCTAAGTTCTTTTCTTGACTCTGCCACTGACTCACTGTGTGATCTTGGGCGAGCCAGTGATGGTCTCCAAAAGTGCTCAGCACCCAGGAGCTCTCATTGGCCTAGATTTTCACCAGTGACGAGTGGTTTGGGGTGCCTGACTTTAGGTACCATAAAGTCACCCGATTGTCAGAGGGCAGGTGCTCAGCACTTTCCAGAAACCAGGCCCCCACAAGGGGTCTCAAGTTGGACCCCCAAAGTTGTTAGCTGTTTGGAACGTTTGGACAATGGGGGGTGCTGGCTGCTGAGCACTTTTGAAAATCTGGCTGCTTCAACCAAGTGCCTAAATGGAAACTGAGCTGTTCTGGCCAGCTGGCCGTTAATCATTCGGTGCCTCGGTTTCCCCATCTGCAAAATGGGATAATAATAGTCCACTGGCTTTGGAGAGCATGTGAAAGACCTATGGATTTAAAACACCTATAGAAAAGCTAGTGGATGGTTTCTGTCTCCAGGGTTATCCCCATATGTTGCTTTGATGGTTTACAGGGGGCAAAACTGTGCCATGAAGGGCCAGGGGCAGGCAGGGCCCTGTGCTGTCCTCCTTACAAGCCCTGCCACAGGTGGCATGCCAGGGGTGGTGCTAAAGGTGAGAGGGGGAGTCTTCGTAGCACATGCTGTCCTGGAGTTTCTGTGCTGTTCCAAACTGCAAAGTGACCTGTAGCCAGCTTTGGGGATCTTCCTGTACCCAAGAGCTCCCGGGGGGCTGCTTTAACTTATGCAGGGGACATGGTTACGCTAGAGCAGCCCAGAATGTTGCAGGCACAAAGGGTATAAAGCCCATCCCCACTTCTGCTTCTCCAGCACCTAAGTATTATTTTATTAGAGGCACCGCATGGACTGCACCACACCATCGCCACACATGAGCCACATACATAGGGACAAAGCATCTTGGATCATTGTTTCCTTCATATTGTCCTCCCCTCTCTCCTCCCAGCACTCAAGTGCGTGCGGAGCTAAATTCTCCCAGCACACAACATCTTCCCCCTGTAGGAACATTAACAGCACAGGGCCAGATCCTCCACTGGTGTAAATCAGCATCCCACCATTGAGGCTGATTTATACCAGCTGAGGATCCTGGCTCACTCTGTTTTTTAAAAAGAAAGAATACACCAAAAGAATAGAAGGAAAATACACCAGAGAAATCTGATGTCACTTGGTGATGCTCAGCACAACAATACGTACATGTGTGTTATCCGTTAGAGCCATAGGGCTTGGAATGGGAAGTCTCCTCCCTTACCCATTCCTTTATTGTTCATATTATAGTAGCATCTAGAGGGCCCAATGAAGATCATTGACCCCATGGTGCTAGGCACTGTACAAACACCTCGCATGAGACAGTTCCTGCACCAGGAGCTTGCAATCTAAATGTAGTTAGCTGCCCAAAGTCATTTAGCAGATCAGTAGCAAAGCCGTGAATAGGTGGCTCAATGCTTCCCATTATAAGATCCTGTTTTCCGTCACTTATAACTGCCAAACTTCAACCATTTGGGCTGACATTTTCCTTGCTGGGTGTCTGTCTGAGGCCGAATTACTCTGGAAAATTTCAGTCAAAACAATTAAGCCATTTCAAAGAATCTGCCTAGGGAAAAATACATTGTTTTGCCCATGCTAAAAAATTCTCGCAACCTTTCCTTTGAAAAGCTTTAATGTCCCCATACTTTAGAGCAGGGACTTGAAATTTGCCAGGCAGTGGCCGTTGTGTCAGGGATGTGCCTTTAACCATCTCTGTGAAAACCTGCCCAGATTTGGCCAAGTTATAAAGCTTTGAAAAATTGCAGTTTGCACATGCTCAGCAGAGCCTTCCTAGATTTTTAACTGCTAAGTTTCCCAAAGATTGTGTCTGTAGCGCACGGGGCATGCTCCAGCTCAGGGCTGAGCAGGACTTTCCCTGCAATTGCATCTCTGGACTGCTTCAGGCCATGCTGGTCTCAGTTTGAGTCGTGGCACCTGAACTGCGTGCAGGGAGACTGTCTATCCTGTGTTCTTGATGACTGTCCTGCTGGGCCCTGCAGCATGGAGGAAGAAGCTGTTTAATTCAAATATAGAGGGGACAAAGGCTGGACCTGCAGGGGAGGGAGTGGGGGAGGCAGATCTGATGAGGGGAAAGAACTGGGATTGAGTGGGCCAAGAGACTGGGACAA